ATTGTTTTTGTTATTGGAAACTGTGTGTACAAATTAATAGAAATGATAATGATAATGACAGTTATATTATCAATAACAATAACAATGTGTTTGCGTTTGTTTACTTTCTTTTTTGCAGCGCGATTCGACATTTTAAATTCGCTAATTAAAAATTTATTTTATTTAATTTTGATTAACGTTCTAAAAACTCGCGTTACGCGTTCGCATCATCATTATTATTATCATTATAAATAATTTTTAAAATAAAAATAATACGTACCCGTTATCGAGAAGGATTTTCTCGCATGGAAGTCAAAAGAAAGAAGAATTCCAATCCGATACAAAATCAATACTTTCGATTCAATAATATATAATTGATAATGATTACGACGACGAAAACGACAACGAAAACGATGACGATGATGACAATGATGATGATGATGATGATGACGAATAAGAGTAGAAATAATAATATTAAAGAAAACCGAAAAAAAAAAAGGAAAGCAAACGAAAATGAAAGTCCGAACGGTTAAAAAAAAAAAAAAAATGTTACGTAAAAGAATAGGTATAATCGCTATTATAGACAGAAAGAGAAAAAAAAAAAAAAGTACCTGGTTTCGATGGCACTGTTAAGCACTGACTACGGTTGTTGCGCTTCCTGCAACTACCATTATACCCACTTCGGTCTATACCTGAAAATTGATCTTTAGACACCGCATTGAAACTGACAATTTCCGCTTAGATAGTGTGATGTATGTTGATAACGAAGAAACTCGCGAAAAAAAAAAAAAAAAAGAGAAATGAATAAAAAAAAAAAAATTTCTTTTTTTTTAAATATTCGCACTTGACGCCTTTTTACACTCGCATTTAAATTCCCCACGTGGGATAATAATACTATTTATTTAAGTGCAAAAACGTTATATGTGTGACGTTTAAAATGACCGTTGGTTGTTACTCTCCGAAAGCGCACACCACGTATTAATAATAATCAGTGCGTGATAATAATAATAATAATAATAATAATAATAATAATAATAATGATAATAATAATAATAATAATAATAATTTTTTAATTGTGTAAATCGCATGTACCCATCTCGTGTTAAAAAAAAATTTATTGTTTTAAAATTTTCTTCTTATACGGATAGTGTAACAAAAAATACCGCGAAAAAAAAAAAAAGTGTTATACAATTTTGTAATATTTTGCAATATTCGGTTATTATGTACATCATCTTCTTCAAATTTAAACTTACGGTTACGTTTAAAAAAAAAAAAATTTGTTATTATTATTATTATTATTTACATTTTTCCGCATTTAATTTTTTTTTCCTTAAAAAAAAACTAATACAAGAAAAACTAATTTAAATCGTCGTGTATGTACAAATGATTTCCTTTTTTTTTTTTTTTTTTTTGGTATTAAAATGAAATAAAAAAGGCGGGAAAACGTAACGGAAAATTTCATATACATATATATTTACTCTGTGACGTTTTATTTAAATATTCTATGATTTTTTTTACTCTTTATCATTTTTTTTTCCTATTTGTTTGAAATCTATAAAGATACTTATTGATTTTTTTTATTTTTTTTTTTTTTCAGTTACCTAATGAAGAATAATAATAATAATAATGATGTGTTTGGTTTTAAAAAAGCAGAAGAAAAAGAAGAAGAATCCATTATTAGGTAAATTATAGTCAAAAGAAAAAAAAAATTATGGTTAATGTCTTCCTTTTTTTTTTTTTTTTTTCATTCATATCGAATAAGTATTATTATTATTGTTTTTTTATTTTTTTTTTTTTTCATATTGAAAAATTCTTTTGTGACGACCTTTTTTTCTTTTTTTTTTTTGTTTTTTAAATTCTTCGACGTTTATTTTTTGTCACGGAAATAGAGAGAGAGAACAAATCGAAAAAAAAAATTTTTTTTTTTTTTTAATAGTTTCTCTCATCAAATGTGATAGATAAAAAAATCACATAAATCGTCTTTTTCAATGTTAAAATTTTTTCTATGGGAAGTTAATGAGGGTTTTGATATATATTTTATATTGGAATGTGTATTTAATTCAATGCTGTCGGGGGGGCGGGGGCGGGGGTTGATTAAAAAACTAACTATAATAACGTCACAAAACTGTTTTTTTTTTCCCTGGAAGTAAATGCGTTCTAACTGGAAATTTTTTTTTATCATTCTCTCTCTCTCTCTTTTTGTCTCTCTCTCTCTCTCTCTCTACAAAAGTCGTTAAATTTTTTTTGTTGCATACGAAATTCTATACGTATTGCAAAATATACAATTGGAAATAAAAATATTAATAATATTAATAATAATAATAATAATAATAATAATTTTTTAAATTTTTATTTTAATCGGCTTTAACACGTTTCAAAATTAACATTCAAACAATACGTAAAATTATCATTATCATTATCATCATCATCATCGACACAAATGTTTATTTCGAAATTTACAACTAATGCTGGCAATAACATATTTTTTTTTTTTTTTTTTTTTAGCGCAACGATCGGTTCGTATACATCAAATCTACACAATTTCGATTGACCATTTATGGTACAATGAGAATAAATCACCGGTCAGCATTTATTATGAAATAACAAACAGAAAGTACTCGAACATTTCTGACATTTTTCTTCTTATTACAAGAAGAAGAAAGGAAAAATAATGAAAAAAAAACAAGGATTTGAATGGTGAGTTTAGGATATATTATAAAAATTACATTTAACGAAATCATTTTTCATTTAAAATGAAAAAAAAGTGTATTTACACGGTTGAAGGTTTTTTCATTTTGTCTTCTGCCACGGTTTTAAAGTAATTATTACTTTAATGGTAATTTTTTTTTTTTTTTTTTTTTTTCATTAAATTATGTTTTTATCGTCGTTGTCCGTAATTATTCATTTCATTGCGTAAAAATTGTCGTAAATTATATTAAAGAAATAATTATTATTATTATTTTTTTGTCGATTCCGCTTTGTTAAAGTCGTATATATTATTATTATTATTATTATTACTATGGTTGAGGAAACGGGGAAAAAAAAAAAATTTAACGGATGTAGTAAAGTTTTTCGGAAGCCATTTTGATATTCCAAAAAAATGCTTAAATCTGATTGGTCGATATTTTATGTTTGTCCGGGGAAATCTGTCGACCTGTCGTGAAAAAAAATTCGCGTTCTCGCGATTCTATAAATCTCTCAATAAACTTTCGTTAAAATTTTTTTTTTTTTTTGGATTTTTATAAACAAAAGTAATTAAATCGAGCCCGCGCAAAAAAAAAATTATTATTTTCAATTGGGAAATATTAAAAAAAACAATTATTAGTATGCTACCATTTATGAATTACGACGAATCAACTCGCCAACTGTAATTTAGGTCATTATTATTATTATTATTATTATTACCATTATGTTATGACGTTACATCTGTAAGATAAATTTTTTTTTGCTATTTTTTTCTATTCGTTCGTTTAACTTCTTTTTCTAATTACTACTCTCGCGTAAAAATAAAACAAAAACTTTTTTTTTTTTTTTAAATCGTTTTGATTTTGTATGAATTTTAAATGCATAACATTAAAAGTTTTTTTTTTTTTTTTCAAAACTAGGTTAATATTTTACGAGGGGATTGTCTCCGTGCAATATTTAATTCCACTCAAAGACTATCACCAGGATAATTGTTAGAGTGAATCATCCAGCAAGTCACGTATACAAGGTAATAAATTTTTTTTTTTTTTTTTTTTTTACTCCGAAAAAACGTTCAGAAACGTTTTTCCTAAAACGAATGAGTCGGTGATAGTTTTGAACAAAAGTTGGGTTTGCTTTAAAAAATGTTTCGAACCGTCCAAAAGTTTCAGGGTTTGTTACATATAAACTTCATCATCATCATCATCAACATCATCATTATCATAATCATCTCCTTAAGCATTACGAGTATTATAACATTTTGCTTCGAGTGACTGACTGACTGACAGACAGGTAAAGGTGAATGCATCTTGTTTTTTTCTGGTTTGATTGATTTAAACAAACACGTGTCTGAGTATTGTTTCCACGTGAAAAGACCAAAAAAAATTTGGTCCTTTTAAATTTGAGAATGTTTTCAATCGTATCGTTTATGATTGATGTGTTTAATTAATATTTTTGGAATATATTTTCATACGATTATCTTTCGAGTCGAATTAAATCGACGTTTCCCCTTCCCTCGCGCCCCCCTTTCGCCCCCGCTCATCATCTAATTATTTTATAAGCGAAGAATATAAATTTGACACGTCTTTCACCTTCGTAGGAAAATGTAAATAAATCTTTGAAAATTTTTTATTAAAACGTTAGTGCTAGTAATAATAATAATAATAATAATAATATTGTGTCGTGACGTATAAATTATTATTAAATTACAACTGGAGAAATGTGTGATTTGGAGAGAAAGCTTGGAAATTTGATGTCTCGTTGATAAAAAATTAAATATGGAAACAAAATATTTTATCATATTCAAATTGATTGATTGATTGATTGATTTTTGAAATTAATTTAAATTAGTTTTAGAATTTATCGATTGTTTAAAAGAGAGTTTGTGTAAAATGGAAACGCGTAGGAAAAAAAAATTTTTTTTTTCTAATTTAGAAAAAAACGGGGGGCCGCAATTTAGTGCGAATTGTCCGCGACCCATTTTTATTTTTTTGAAATTTATTTCATTAGCATTTTTATTAATGATGTCTTCAGGGTGTAACATATATTATAAATTTTAAGGTACATTCTCATTCGGGGTCTCTCTCTCTTACTTATCTATGACTCGTTTATCGAAAAAAAAAACAAATGGAAAAATTTACAAACGAATATGCGAATATAATTCTAATGCCACGACGATTAATAATATCATGGAGAATGTAAATAATAACACGTGGTTCTATATATATATATATATATTTAGTCTGCTTAAAAGTTTTTATTCGTATAAAATGATATATACAATTAAAAGTTCAATATTAATTAATTTGTGTTTTCGGTTTTACACGTTATTTTTTTTGATGAAAAATACAATACCGGATGAGAAAGATTTAAAAAATTCATCAATTAAACAATGGATGGATCCACTTTCAAAAAGAGTTTTTTTAATTAACGTTAACGGTTTGACCAGTAATTTTTTAGAATACAATTCGACGCCTTACATACAAGAAAAGGTATCGCAAAGGGGATTGTTTGGAATCGTGAGTACGAATTATTACGAAACAAACGAAGGAGGATTGAAAACGCTTTTATCCGGTAAAAAGGGATATTCGTCACCGTTTTACTGGAATCGACCGAAAGGATTCGATTCGATATTGGAATATTCCAATTGCAAATGTTTAATGGGTGACAATTTACCGGGTACGAAAATCAATTGTTATTTTCCAGAAAAAGATCCGCTCAGAGAATTTATTAATTATTCAAAAACGCTCGAATTGAAATTTCAATCAAATTGTTTTTACGTTATAAATTTTAACATCGATCCCGTATTGATAGAGGATTATAGAGAGAAATTGAAAAAAATGGACGACGATATAAGAGAGGTCGGAGAGAAAATCGACGAATCTTGGGAAAACGAGAATAGCGTGACGTACATAATAACATCGAGTCGTGGATCACCCCTAGGATACGAGGGTAACATGAATGCACCCCTAGCAGCTTGGGGAAGTGGTATAGCATATTCGGAAAACGTTTTGTTCGTGAGACGAACGGATTTGACGGCCATGTTATGCGTTCTTGCCGGCGTTAATTTTCCACCGAAATTAATCGGTGTAGTGCCGTTGCATTTACTACAATTAAACGAATATTATCAATACGAATGGACATTGTACACGATAAAACATTTCGAAAACGTATTGAAATTGGTCGATTTGACGGATCAAAACGTTCAATCTCTGGAACTTTTACCGGATCAATTATTCACGAGGTTAAACAGTATCGTGAATAGGATACAATCGGAAACCTCACAAAAACAAATTAAAATGATACTTTGGAATTTAATTTTGAACGTTTTGACCAATTTTCACTTTCTCACCGTTGCCTCTCACGGCGGTTCCGGAGTAATAATAAAATGGAATTACAAGGAAATCATTTTTTTATTCTCGTCCGTGGTATTCACATTGATTTTTTTCAACGAGGATTTGCAATATAAAATCCCGTCGATATTTTTCGCCGTGTTATTTTTAAAAAATTACACATTGATTTTTCGAGATCAAACGAAAATACAATTCAACGATTTGGCATTAACAATAAACGTAGCATACGCCGCCATTTTCCTAATCAAATGCATCGGTAACGCACACGGAATACTCGTTTTAATGAGTTTCGTCATATTTTGTTCTTTTTTCCGGAGTTCATGGACGCAATTTAACATATTCGTTCGATTGATACACGTTGCATCGGGAATATTCCTGAGTTTTTTACCCCACAGGAGAGTTTTCGGTGAAATGCCAAAAACTTGGATCACATCGACCGTGAGCTTGACGTTTCTCGCATGTTTCTGGATCCTTTTTAAACATTTCAAAAGAAAAATCGATACGCATTTTAAACTGACGTCTCTTTTGATAATATTCACGTTCGTACACGTTCACATTTTGTACAAGTATTATTACAATCCGGAAATACAAAATCCATTTTCTTATTACATAATAATATTGTTTTTAATATCCGCGTACACGGCATCTGGAACGCTCATGGAAAGATTGATGAAAATATATTTATCGTTTTTAGTACCCATCGAATTGTTATCGATACGCGTGGAATCAATATATTATTTTCTTATCGTCGTTCAAATGTTCACTTTTTTATTCGTGGAATATCACGACGACATATCGTCGATATTAAAATACACTCCGTCGATATTTTCATCCGAGCCTAAAATCTATAAAAATTATTCGTCATTTTCCCTTCGTCACTTGATGTTTTTCACTATTTACACGTACACGAGTTACCACGGAATGGGTCACGATCCGAAATTTCATCCCTACGATTATTACGCAATATCAAAATTTTTTTACCGTTATCCAGAGTCAATATCGACATTTTTATTCGCATATAAATTTTTCATACCTTTTTTCGTGCCCACGATATCGTTCATGGCTTTGAGCAGTTTAAAAGAGAAAAATTTCGACAGTCGTTTCGTGACGTTCATATGGGCTTCGGACTTGATGGCGTCCTTTTTTTTAATCGTATTAGCTATAAATAAAATTTTTTCAATAAGATTATTACCGGTTAATTTAATACACGTCATTATACAACAATTTTCAGTAGTTTCCGTTATACTATCGTATTTTTTAGGATGTTTCCTTTTGTATCCGACGGAAAGGAAAAATGGTGCAAAAGCATTAAAAAAAAAAAAAAAAAAAAATTATAATGAGAATGATAATAATAATGCGTCAAAAGTATCAGTAGTTGAAACTTTACAAACAATTTCGGAATGATTTATTATTTAACTTTTTTCCATTATTATTTTTTATTATTTTTTTACTACTACTATTATTATTATTATTATTTTTTAAATAAATAAATAAATAATTTTTCATCTTTCCGATCAATTTATTTATTTATGCGTAAATTAAATATTCGAGAAAATTCTGTGACGTCATTAGAGAGAGAGAGTTTAATCTAGAAAAATATATATTTTTTTTTTATTTTATTTTTTTTTCGGGTCGTTTTCGGTTCCTCGAAAGTCGATTAATCATAGAGTAAATAAATGTAAATCATAGAGTAAATGTGAATCATCGAGTAATACACATCCGTTTCCGATTCGGCTTCCGATATAGTAAGGGAACTTCTTCCGGTTTTGTAAAACGTTAAAGTTAGGTTGATTATTGATTTATTATTATTATTATTAATAAATTTATGTAATTTTGACGTCATACTTTTTGTTTTTTTAGAAAATTCGTGTTATGACGACCCCGTGTATCGCAAATATTATTATTATTATTTTATGCAATAAGATGGAAAAAATGTTGTTGTTGTTGTTGTTGTTGTCCTGAAGGTAAACTTTTCCTCTTGTTTAAATATATACGAGTCGTAAAATTATTTAGTCGCAATTTCGTTTGTTTTTTTAAATTTAATTAATTAATTAATAATAATAATTAAAAAGGTAAATTATCGGATTGATTTTGCGAGATTTCCCCCCCCCACTTTCATTCTCCATTTTCCCTCGAGGAAAATGAAAATCACACAAATAATTTCACAATTTTAAATCAATGAATTATTTGTTAAATTAATTGAAAGGAAAAAAAAGTCGTGGAAGAAGAAAATAAGGATTGTCGGTTAGGTCGTCTCATAAGGTATTATTCAATCGATGAAAATTTATTTTTCTATTTATTATTATTATTATTATTATTATTATTATTATTATTATTATTATTATTATTATTATTATTATTATTATTATCATTTTTTTGCGTTTTTGAGATGAAAGAAAACTTTCGAGAATTTGTGTGTGATGAAATCAATATAAAGGAAAAACAAAGCAGAAAAAAAAATTTTGTATGAAAATCATGTTTACGAATTAACGTGTTTGAAAAAAAAAAAAAAATCTTTTGCGTTAATTTATTGTTTCTTTTTTGACCTTTGACCTTTATTGTATTCGACTGGACATTTTCATAACCTTGCAACACGTAATACATACACATCATCATCATCATTTTTTTTTAACATAGCGTGACGGACGACGTATTCTATCTATTATTAATTTTTCTTAAAATTTTCTTTCCTCTCTCTCTCTCTCGTACTTTGTTATATTGAAATATCAAGAGGGAAAATATCGAGAAAAAATTTTCATTTTAATTTTTCATAACCTCGTGAGAGTCGGTTAAAATTCCAAAAACAAGGTGACAACGTGACATTTTTTTTTTTTTTCGAATACCTTAGAAATTTTTTTTTTAAACAAAATTGTCATAACAAATAATTAAGGATAACGAGTTTGATTTTTTCCCAATAATAATTGATTTATCGATTTTTATTATTATTATTATTCTATTTATATAAATAATTAAAAAAATTTTTTTTTCTAATCGATTTTTCCGAGATTTATTAAAAGGTGAACGAGAAACGCCATTTTTTTTTCTACGATGATTAATTTTATATATATATATATAATAATTCGAAAAACAACCTTTTACGTTCATTATTATTATTATTATTATTATTATTATTATTATTATTATTATTTTGTTTTTTTTTTTTTTTAAACTTTTTTTTTGAATTGTTTTTTAAAATTCTTTAAACTTTCGTTTTATTATTATTGTTAAAAAAAAACCCCAACGAGGTTTAACCTCATCATGACCAACATAATCGTGACATTTTGCCTAAGTTTTTTTTTTTTTTTTTTTTTTTACACGTCATCAAACGTTACTTAATCGATTTTTCTCGAAAATGAAGTTTAAAAAAAAAAGAAAAAGCAGGGGGGCGGGGCGGGGAGAAAAAAACGTTTTTTTTGTTTCTTTATTTTTTTTTTGTTTCGTTGCATCAGTTAAGTCGATGTATATTGATTTGTACATTTCCCTCACTCTCTCTCTCTCTTGCACGCACTCACATTGTATAAGTCTTTCTTTCTTACTCATATTTGGCAATCAATCGTAATCGTATACCATCGGGGGGTCAAGATTGCGTTAATTACTTACAACTAAAATTTTTTATTATTTTTATTTATTTTGTTTATTTATCGCATCTTAATAATTTTGCAAATTTATCGATAAGTGAATCTTAATCGATTAATCGAAATCGAAATCGAAATCGAATAATTTTAAATTTCGCCGACGTGAATTACCATCCGACGAAAAAACACGAAAATCGAAATTTTTTTTTTAAAATTCTCTCGTGAAAATTGATTAACAATCGATCGATCGATCGATCTATCGTTTTTTTTATCGATAATATCGATTCTCGAATCTCGACGAATTAAATTTTTTTTTTTTTCCTCCTTTTTGAATGTAATCGATTCTTAATCGTGAGTCACATTTTTTTTTTTAATGTCACTAAAGGTTTTTCGTATGGAAATAAGGAGGGGAGACGGGGGAGGGGGGGAAATAAAACAAAGAAAGATGAAGGTTTATATTTTCACCCGAGCACCGTGACCCCCTTTTTTTTTTTTTTTCAAAAACATTTTCAGGTGGCAAAATTAAAAAAAAAAAAAAAATTTGCAAATATTTTTATTTAAAAAAAAAAAAAAAAACTTTTTTTTTATTCACGGTCGGTCGGTTAATGAGCCATTAACATACATATATAATTTTTTTTTATATAAATTAATAAAATTTTATTTATTTATAATTTATGTATATGTGTATACATACATACAAATTCTAATTATCATTATCATCATTATGTACATAAAAATTTATTCATATGTTTATCGATACCACGAACTTAATTTAAAAAAACATGAGTAAAATCGGTTTTCTTTCCCCTCTCTCTCCCTACCCCTCCCCGGGGGTTTCGTATACAAACATACAAACGTTTACTTATTTTTTTTACATAATATACAATTAAAACTTTTATAAATTATTATTATTATTATTACATATATATATATATATATATATATATATATATATATATATATATATATATATATATATATATATATATATGTGCTCGCTAAAATTCTTTGGTAGATTTAAAAAAAAAAAAAAATTTTAAATACTTTAATTTTTATAGCATCATCAATCAGTCTTATAGTCTCTGCACTTTTCTTTTTCTTGCTATTATTATTATTATTTTTGCATGCACATTTTTAACTGTACCGGATTTTTGGCATTTAATATAACGTTATCAGGTTCGCACATCGTTATGCTGAAAAAAAAATAATAAAATTTATTTATTATTATTATTATTATTATTATCGTTTTCGTTGTCGTTGTTATTGTTGTTTTTGTTGTTGTTGTCGTTGTTGTTGTTGTTGTTGTTGTTGTTGTCGTTGTCGTTGTTGTTGTTGTTGTTGTTGTTGTTGTTGTTGTCGTTGTCGTTGTTGTTGTTGTTGTTGTTGTTGTCGTTGTCGTTGTTGTTGTTGTTGTTGTTGTTGTTGTTGTTTGTAATTTTACCTACCTTTCTCCTGTTTCTAAACTATCGATTCTTATCGAACTTATTGATATCGTAGTTTCGTGAATTCTCCACGTTAACGGATTGAATATTTCAACTTCGTTAGACCATTCTAAAAAAACGGATTGTAAATTTCCAACGTTTGAACCACCGACAACCTTTCGATGTTCCGAACCTGAATCGTAATATTGAACTCTGTTGGATGGTGAAAACAAACAAAAAAAAATTTTTATTATTATTTGTTTTTCTAATGTTTTTAAAATGAAAATGGCGGTAAATTGGATCGTTTTCTGATTACCTGTTACCCATGTTTAATAATTCCGTCGAACCTTTACTACCGACAATTTTTATTTTGAATTTACCAATTTCGTGACAATAATCCGATATTTTCCACGTGACTCTATATTGACTTCCTAAAAAAAAAAGAAAAAATTTCGTTCGATATGAAATCGATTCGATTTCGATTTATCGAAATCGTAAAAAAAAACTTACTGTAAAATGGCGAACTGTCACCCGTTAATAAATACATTGTTATATGTCTTCTTTTAGGGGATTCAGTAAGCATGACGTCATTGTTTGATTTCTTATGTTTCATTTTCAATAATTTACTATCGATAAAAGAAAGAAAATAATAATAATAATAATTTTTGTTTGTTTGTTTGTTTTAGGAAAGGATAAGAGCGTGCTTACTTGTTTGTGAAAACGGAAGCAGAATGAAAACCGAAAGGTGCACATAAAGTTCCATTTTTATATGCGGAATTATAATCACATTTAAAACAGGATCCGTTTAAATAATGTTCCCAAGATTTACATTCGACAGCGAGAAATTTTTCCGGTGAGTTAATCGTTTCTATAAAATATTGATAACTTCTAACGTGGTTGCAACTAATCATTTTTGTCACACCTAAAAAAAAAAAAACGCGCGTTAATGATGATGGTGGTGGTATCCGCGGCGATGCGTACGAATGGGTGAATGGTACCTTTTATGAGGGATCCTTTTTCGGTTACGTATTTCATTAAACCTGGATTACAACCGGGTTGATCTTGTCCTCCGTTTGGATAAAAATCGATGTGACCAGCTGGATCTCTCATACCTAAACCGCCCATGACGAAAAAATTAGCGTCCGTGTGTATGTTATCAACAAAAATGGCATCCGTGGGATCTAATCGTACGAGTGCGTCCGTTTTTGCAAAATGAGGTTCCGCCGGATCCAAACCTGAAAATTTAAGAAAATTTTTTTTTTTTTTTTTATCGTAGCCGTCATCCAAGTTCGATTTTCCTTATCAATTAATTCATTTTTTGACCTTTTTTTTTCTTTTTTTTAATTTCTCCCCGGTCATTAGAGAGACGAGGGCTGTCATGATTTTCGATGAACTCTGACGACTTTATATATGGTTTGACGTCAGCAACGTTGCTTATTATTTAAAAACTTTTACAATTAACAAAGTGTCTTTTGCCACGCCATTTATATTAATTAATTAATATTTTAATTTCTTTTTTTTTTTCGTACAATCTCCTAAATCTAATTAATTGATTTTATTTGAACTTTTTACGCGGGAAGGAGAGAGAGAGAGAGAGAGAGAGAGAGGAGGGAAAAGGGGGTCGAGACGGGGTTGCTTATGTAACTAATTATTATTATTTTATATATAAGATTTTCATTATTATTATTATTATCATAATGAAAATTATTTATCTTCAAACTGAGAATTGGTTAAAAGTCGGTCATGCATTACGTTTAGTAATTATTTTATTATTATTATTATTATTATTTAACCGTTGTGATCAAAGTTTAAAAATATAATTCGAGCACGCGATTCGTACCCGTAATAAAGAAAAAATAATTCAAGGAAATGAGAGCACAAGAGCGAGCACGAAAAGTAGAAGAAATACCAAAAACAAACGAACCTGTTATACGTCCAAGCCTTTGATTAAAGGTACGTCTGAGAGTGGTGCCAACATAAGACGCCAAATGAGCACCCAAAGAATGTCCGATGATGTGAATTTTTTCCGTTTGCAATCCCACACCTTGTTCGGATATCATATTTATTAAATGAGCCGTCATTACTCCCACAAGACGTATGTTGGCAACAGCTTGGGTATAAGGGGGATCCGATCCTCCGGACCAATCGATGGATATAACGTTGGCATTAGATCTTTTCAAAAGTTCTTTTGTCATGTTCTGAAATAATATTTTTTTATATCACTCGTCGGTTGTAATCCATTTCCAGAGAGAGAGAAAGAGAGAGTGTTTTGTAAGAAAGTTACCATTATCCAAGGGCGGTGTCCATTTTCAACAAAACCGTGTGCTATGAAATAAACCAATCCGGACGGGACGTAATTACTACGAAATAATGTTTGAGGGTCGTCAAGCAATAACGGATCGCAAGTCGTTGGATTTCTTCTTGTATACAAACAATATTTCGGATCTATAAACTCAGGTGACTGCGGAAACATATTGACCGGCCTGGAAAAAGAATTCCAGGGATGTTCGACGGAATAACATCCGAATTTTCCGTAGCATTTTTTCGTTAGCGTATCTAATAAACATAACGATGAGATTTTCATTATTATTATTATTATTTTTTTTTTTTTTTTTTTTAGGTGTGCAAATGTTTATCGTAAGAAATTTATAACGTATTCGTACGTCGAGTTTTTTTTTTTTTTTTTTTAAATTAGCCTTCCAGCTAAAAATCGTAAAAAAAATTTTGCAATGACCTCAATTTCTTTTTTCTTTTCTCCAAACGTTTTAATGTGTCGGTTCCTCCTGCCTTGCACATTTATAAATAGATTCGCTGGAACCTCCTCAATTTCTTATTTAAAAAAAAAAAAACAATTTTCTCATTACGTAAGAAACAACCGACGATTATTATTATTATTATTTTCCATTTTAAATTTTCCAAAAGGAAAAACCTGAATCTCCAAATCTAAATACTAATCAATGAAATTTTTTAAATGGAAAAATCATTCATACAATGTTTACTTACGGAAAAAAAAAAAAAGCGCGGGAAAATTTTTAATACTCACCCTGTTCGGATCCGGATGAATTAGGGATGGTATTATTTAAATCACACAAACAATAATTATTAATAATACTAATAAATAAAATAAAATAAATAAAAATAATATAATGATAATAATAATAATAATAATAATTAACGGAAACGGTCATTTTTAATATATATAAATAACTATATAACGGGGGTAATCGTTTGTCTATCACTAACTCACTAATGTCTGCACCATTTCATTTGACCGTATATACTATTTATAAGGCGATCAAGCCTCAACTGGACTTTGAACCTTTAATACAAGTCCGTGCATAAATGAATTATTTGAATTTATTATTTATTTATTTTATTTATTTATTTACCTTATTATTATTATTATTAATTTTTTTTTGTTTTTTTTTTTTTTTTTTAAGGGATTCGCATGATTGCGGCGCATTATTATTATTATTAGGATTTCGATTTCATTTTTTTTTGGGGGAGGAGGTGATGATCGACATCCGATTGTGGTAAGTTACAAACATTTTTTTCAAGGTACGAAATTTAGAAATACCTTCTTCTTCCTCTTTTTCTTCTATTTTTCGAATCATTGAGAAACGTATTCGACCTTAAAATCCATCGTGTAATCTTTTTTTTTTCTTTTTACAAACAAGTGATAATTACCTTTTTTTTTTCGTTAATTACTTAATAATTAAGTAGCAGTACTCGTTGTTTGTTTGTTTGTTTGTTTTTTCTGGTTATTTTGAAGAATAGCCCAATATAGGTTTATCAGGTTGCGTACCGTAAGGTTTTGATCAATAATACTTACTCGTTAAGGTTTTTTTGGTTTATTATTTTCAAGGTACATTTATATCGGTTTTTCATTAAATATTTTTTTTTTTTCATCATCACAACACACAGTCTTGTGACACACCCCCTTAAAGAAAGAAAAAAAAAAATTTAAGTTTAGGTTCGATCTCAAGGTTTAGTTAGGTATATCAAACCATTGATTGAGATGATTACTACCTTAAAAAGTCAACAAACTGATCATTACGACGGAGAGCACTTAATGTGTCGTGTGTGTGGTTTTTTTTTTTAAAAAAAATATTTTTAATGACTTCTGGCGCCTTCGTGTTTTTTTTTTTTTTTTTTTTTTAAAATATTTAAATAATTCTCTCTCTCTCTCTCTCTCGTATTTACATTTTTTACTTTATTGAAAAAACCTTCGTACGCACCCCGAAAACTATTTGCAAAAGTAATAAATTAAAATATTATTTATTAATTGGTTTGGTCTTAAACGAAACTTGAGGAATAATCGCAAAAGCTGTTATATAAATTTATCATTGCGGTAGGTGGGTGACGTAGTAAAAACTTTTAAAACGTATTAAAAAAGGTTCGGGTTCAAAAAGTAAAAGACAGAAATTAAATATAACATTTACAATGACAAACATATCATAATAAAATAAAAACAGATTTTTTTTTATGTCATTAGTTATCATTGTGACGTAAAACAAGTGCAAATCGAGTAAAGGCGAACTTACATAAAATGTAGTAATTATTATATAAAAGGAATTTTTGTTGCTGGTAGGAGTGGTGGTGGTGGTGGTAGTAGTCAGGTGTTTAAGGTACCGATGGTGTTAGTTCAAGGTCGCGAAATTCGATCGATATCGTCAAGGGGCAAACCCCAAACGATCGATTAATTCCAAAATGATTCCAGGTGATTATAGGAAATCCTTTATTTATACCTTACGACGACGTATAGATGATAATAATAATAGTAGTTAAAAAGAAAAAAAAATGGGGAATTTTTTTCGTTTTATTTACAAAACAATATGATTTTCTGATCAGTATTGCGAAAGTTCAAAAAAGGTTAAAAAAATAATAATTTCCAATTAAATTTTTCCATTTTAAACAATTAAAATAATAATAATAATAAATTATTATTATTATTATTATTATTATAAAAAAAATGAGCTATGAATCGCGTCGATTATTTCTTTTTTGAAATAATAATAAAAATAAACGTTTTTTTTTTTTTTCTTAATTGCTCAATAATAATAATAATAATAATAAGTAATTAAGTGTTTCGATTCGATCGAACCGAAGGTTATTAACAAAAAAAAACTAAAAGTGATAAACGCAGTAAATTATTATTATTATTATTATTATTATTATTTTCTGTCGCAATGCTGTAAGTGCAGTAAGTAGTAGTAGTAGTAGTCAGGATGGAAAAAGTAAAAAAAAAAAAAAAAAAATACGAAACTTTTTTTTATATGCGTGGGGGGGCCATTTCCATCCGTTACACTTTTGATTTTGAGTTAACGAAGGTCGCGTCAGAAAGAAAAGAAACAAACAAACAAACAAACAAACACGCAAAGAAAATGTGTTACAAAAAAAATATATATGATGAATCACATGGTCGGAATTTTTTTTTTTTTTTTTTATTATGTTATAATAACCCCATAACGAAAGGATGAACTTAAATATGAGCGAAATAAATTTTTATCTTTTTTTATTGTTTTTATGATTGTTTTGTTTGTTTGTTTGTTTGTTGCCAAATTACGCAGCGAAACGTAATTACGAGTAAATAACAAACACGCACCGAAAAAAAATCTTTTTTTTTTACGCATTTAGTGTAGTTGTCAAATCTCAAACAAACGAGTTGATTAGGTTGAGTTTGTTTTTGTTTACTTTTTTACAGCAGAAGATTTTCCAAATTTTTGTACTCTTTCGTAAACAAACATAATTTATTATATTTCCGGTTCGTGAGTAGTATATTCGTACGAGGGAAATTTTTAGCTAACACGAAGAATTTACGATTAGGCTACTACACAGTCTATAAATACTCTATTATTATTATTATTTTTAAATGATGACTAAAGTTAAAAATTAGTTTAATTTACGCTAAACGTGCAAATTTTTTTTTTTTTTTTTTCAAACGAGATACCTAAAACGTTTAAAGGGGCCGATTAAAATAACCAGAAATTGTTTTTTTATTTAGGCATTGGAAGTTGCTGGGGGGGGAGGGGGGGAAGACAAAACATATCTAGTCAAAAAAACTTCTTTTTTTTGCTTATAAACAATTTAAATAATTTATTCTACTTTGACGACAACTTTTCCAGTACATTTAGCATCTAATAAATACTCGAAAGCAGAATTGACATCTTTCAAATCAAATTCTTGAGATATATGAGGAGTTATTAATTCTTGTTCTGCCATGTCTATGACGTCTTCAACGCAACTCCTATAAGCAAATAATAATAATAATAATAATTTTTAATTTATGGTTGAATGTTAGTCGTTTGAAGTTGACAATGGACTCACTTATATGTTTCTATATCGTTTATTCTATAATGCCAAGGTGATACTCCTGTTATACTGACAGCCTTTGGTAGTAGTGATGATAGATTAAAATTTTTTATATTTCTAGCTGCATTGCTTGCAAGAACCATTCTACCTTCATTGCTCACGCTAAAATATTTTTTTCCCACATCATTAAATTATGGTTACAATAATAATAATAATAAAAAAAAAACCTTAGTAGGATTTGTTAATTACCAATTCAATGCGCTTTCAAAAACTTTATCTCCAGTCGCATCGAAAACAACTTTAACTCCTTTACCATTGGTAAAATTTTGTACTTCTTTGACAAGGTGATCGTCGTACTTCAATGCCATAAATGCACCTTTTTCCCTTACTAAAGCCGCTTTGTCTTCTGTCGAACAAACCGCTATGACCTGATGATAGTTTTTTTTTACACATGTCAGATTAATAATCGAAATAAGATAATTAATTAATTCATTTACCTTTGCTTTGTAAACATTTGCAGCAAGATCGACAGCAGCCAAACCCACTCCTCCACCAGCAGCAGTTACCAATACTGTTTCACCTTCTTCTAATTTACCTCTTCTAACTAAACCTAATAAAGCTGTTATGTAACCATCTAATAAAGCACTACATTCTTTTAGGGAAATACCTTGGGGAACGTGGTAGCAATCCTGTCGAAAAAATAGAAAACTCTGTCAATTTTTAAAAAATTGATAAAAATGATGACGTCATAAATGATTAAACCTTTGAAACGACGACGCATTCTTCTGCAAAACCCCCGCAAGATTCTTTATTCAAACCAATGACTTTATCACCAACGTTAAATCCATTTAATTTAGCATCTTTTCCAACTTCAGTTATTTCTCCAGCCATTTCGTATCCAGGCACGAATGGTAATTTCGGTTTATATTCGTGATAACCTTTTACTATTTCAACATCAGAGGGATTCACTGAACAGTACTGTACCTTAATTCTTATCTTGAAATCAAAATTATCATTATTATTATTATGTGTGATTGGTTAAAGGAAACGTCGAGTGAATAATGAGAGAGTTGTTAATGTATGAAAATTATTTACTTGATGATTTTTCATCTTGGATTGTTTAACATCGTCGATAATTAAAGGATGTTTGTAATCTTTTAAAACGGCTGCTCTTATACTTTTTTGCCGATATTGAGTTTCAGATATTAATCCAACCTTTTGAATATTTTTCTTTCCTAATTTTAATAAAATATTACTTAAAACAAACGACATTTTTATTTTTATATATAATTTATTATTATTAATAATTTTTTTATTTATTATTTATTTTATAAAAAAAAAATTAATCTCTAGGAAACACTTGACAATGTTTTTCTTTTGATCAATTACTTTAATGAAAGTTTTTCACTTCAGTGAGCCGCCATTTTTATTAGACGTGGAAATAGAAAATTTTTATTATCGCGGTTAAATTTTTCGCTATAAATTCCCTCTTTTTCGGTCATGATTGACGTTTTAATAGAACAGATGTTCTCATCGATGGCGATTGTAAAATTTAATTAAAATATTTTAATTCGTTAAATTCGAATTCGGTGAAATTGACAGTCGAATGTAATTGTTGTGTTTAAACCGTCGTAGGTTAATTTTTTTCAGAAATATTTATAAATGTTATAAATAATAATCGGTTTTAAAAAGATGGCAACGAATAAATCTCTATCAGATTGGTTAAATGAAAATTTATCGGAAATTCTTTCTTTTCCTGTTCCAACTTGCATGACAGAGTAAGTAAAACGTTTGTTTGTTTTTCAATGACTATTTTTTATGCTGTTAATGACACAAATTTTTCATTCGGTTTTTTTTTCTCATTCCAGGTATATTTCTACAATAGAAAACGATAGAGATTTAGAAGATTATTTGAAAACTTTATTAGACGTAAATAATTCTAAACACAGAGCTTTCATTGAAAAATTTAAAGTTTTAAAACGTTCCAGCGAAAATAAAAATGATAACGATGGTGATAAATCCAAAGGTGGTGTTAAAAAGAAAAAAAAAGGAATCGAAGGAACAAAAAGTGATAATAAAATAATGAGTGATGGAAATGTTGTAGAATCGGATAATGGAAAGGTAAATACATAATAGTTTTGCCTTAAGGTTTTTATAACTCACTGTTGTTTTTCTAATTAGGGTGGAGTAAAACAGAAAAAGAAAAACAAATTTATTAATCTTTATTCGGAGGAAGGTGAAAAAAGGGATGTTATTTTTCTCAAAGGTAGACACATGTGCGAATGTCAAGCAAGCAAACATAAATTGATAAATAATTGTTTAAAATGTGGAAGAATTGTGTGCAGTCAAGAAGGATCTGGTCCTTGTCTTTTTTGTGGTACACTTGTATGTTTCATCATGTTTCATCGACAAATAATAATAATAATTATTATAATTAGTGAAAAATGATAACTTTTAGGTTTGCAGCATAGAAGAACAAAACATTCTTAATATGGAAACGAAACAGTCGAAAAAACTTTATGATCAATTAATGAAAAAAAGTAATTTGGACGATTTGGAAAAAGCATTGGCGCAAAGAAATAAACTTTTAGAATATGATAAATCGATGGCACAAAGATCAAGGGTTATAGATGATGAAAGCGATTATTTTTCAACGAATTCAAGTTGGTTAACAAAAGAAGAAAGGGAAAAATTACAGAAAAAAGAAGATGAAGCTCATGCTAAGAAACACATGTCGAGATCAAGTAGGAAATATACTTTCGACTTGTTGGGTAAGTTCTAAAACGATACTCATTATTACTGTAACGATTTAATTAAAAATATTTTTTTTTTCTTTTCTTTCCTGCAGAAAGAAAAGTTATAGAAGAAGCTGTAGATACAGAAATAGATGAAAGTTTTTATAAGGAAGCTTTTGATAAAATTGAAGAAACTTTAGCGGAAAGTTACACGCATCCCGATTTCCCAGCCATTGTACAACCCATCGTAAGTCAATCCACTTAATAAATAAATAAATTAATTAATTGTGATAATTTGTTTTTTATATAATTTCAATCGTTTTATTGTAGTTTGTCAGTGACAAACAAGAACAAGCGGTAAATCATTTAGAAGCAGAAGAAAAAACGGAAGATATAAAAAATTTAAATTATAGAGTTCAAGATAAAGAATTGCTTTTGATATCCGATAATGGAGCTTGTTTAAGCATGCATCAACCTTGGGCTTCGTTATTAGTTTCAGGAATAAAAAAGTAAGAAATTTTTTTTTTTTAAAAAGGGATAATCGATAATCGATCGATTTGGATCGATAAAATGTCGGTTCGAGATGGAATAGTAAATATTTGTTGTATTTACAGGCACGAAGGAAGGACTTGGTACACGTCGCACAGAGGAAGGCTTTGGATAGCAGCAGCATCGAAAGCTCCGACACCGGAAAGTATTAAAGACTGCGAAGAATTTTATCAAGGAATTTACGGTGAGGTCGAATTAGTTTAGTCAAAACAACAAAGGGCAAAAAACAAAAGAATTTAAATTAAATTTTTTTTTTTTCTAGATCATCCGATAAATTTTCCAAAATCGTATCCTACGAGTTGCCTTCTCGGTTGCGTCTCACTCACGGATTGTCTACCACAAGAGGAGTACAGATTAAAATATCCGGATGGAGAATCGGAGAGTCCCTTCGTGTTCATATGCGAAGACCCTCAAGAATTAGATATAAGATTTCCACTTTCCGGAAGTCATAAAATTTGTCAGTAAAAAATTAAATGATTGATTGATTGATTGAAATAAGATGAGTTTTTTTGAAATATGACGTTTGTAAACGGTTTTTTTTTTTTTTTTAACTTTACAGATAAATTAGACAGTAGAATACACAAAGCGGCGAAAAAATCCATATTGAGAATATCAAAAGAAAAATCATCGATTCGGAAATGAAGAAAATCATTTCGAGTCGTCAATCACGTGACAAATGGATTAATCAAAGGGTGATTTGTAAATTTTTGATTATTAAGAATATATAATTTTAATAGGAATTAGGATTTTTTTTTTTTTTTTTTGGTTTTTTTTGATTTACTTTTCCCTTTCAGGAAAACGGAAGTGAATGAAAAAAGAAAAAAAATTTTTTATTTTTTTCTCTCTCTCACTCGCCGATTAAATTAATAATAATAATAATAATAAAACGGGTTTGTCGAACGGGAAAAAAGTAAACAAACGAACGGATTGTTAAACAATAAAAAAAAAAATTTTTTGTTTGTTTGTTTTCCTGTAAATAAATGAAATTTCTCGGAATCTTTCGTTTTTTTTTTATTGGTTTTTAATGTTTACCGTAAAAGCCAAAAAAAAAAAAAAGGATCGGCTTATTGTGAAATAAGAAGAGTGAGAGAGAGAGAGAGAGAGGAATGTTAAGTAATAATTTTTTTTTTTTTTACAAATATGTAAATATTTTACTTATTCATTATTATGAATATGCGGTGTAAATGAATTGATTGAATAGTTTTCTCTCTCTTTCCCTTTCTCTTTCTCTCTTTCTCTCTCTCTCTCTGTATCTTTATCTCTCTATCTCTCTCTATTTTTCTCTCTCTCTCTCTATATTATCCAATCTTTATTTTTCAACTGCAACGACGACGACAACCACTACCAACATCATCATCATCATCATCATAACCATTTGTCGTCGTCGTTTCATTTGTACAATTTATTTCGTTTGTTTGTTTGTTTTTTATTATTATTATTATTATTATTATTATTATTATTATTATTATTATTATTATTATTATTATTACATTTTTCCCCCTCGAATTAAAAACAAACAAACAAAATTCTAAAAATATACAAAAAATTTTTTTTTTAAATTTAGCGTTTAAAAAAAAAAAAAGAAAAATCATCATCATTATTATTATTTGTGTCATTAATTATTTATTTAATAAAAATTCACGTGTATTAAAATAATCTTATAAATAAATACAAATTTTAATAATAATAATAATAGTAATAATAATAATAATAGTAATAATAATAATAATTTTTTAAAATTTATTTTTTCAGGTGCGTGACAAATTTTAAATAAAAACTAAACAGTATGTATACGTATGACGTCACAAACGGAAAGAAAAAAATCATATTTGAATATTTATACGTTTTGTTAGACGGACTAGATTTTGCCAAAGTTTTTACAATAATAATAATAATAGTAATCGGTTTTGAATATGTGCGCGAAATGACTTAGTTCGAATATTTATATACATGAAAAAAGGAAGAAAAAAAGAAAAAAAAACTCCGGATTATGGTTTTCGAGAAAGAAAGAAAGAAAGAAAGATGTCTGTCATTCAATCACGATCTTGGATTTTATCGACTTTCGTATGACTTTTACCGTAATAACTAAGTTCGACGCCTTCCACGGCGGGTTGAAGATGATGATGAGGAACCTCAAACATTCTAACGCCGCTCCGCCATTTTCCATTTCCTTTGAAAGCTGTAGAATTGTAAATCATATCCGGTATGGTCATTATTTTAGGTTGATTTTCTATTTGTTCTTTTCTTATGCTTTCGACGGCGATTTGATCAATGTATTTATCGCTGTCGTGTATTTTAAATTGATTTATAACTGATGACGATGAAGAACCATCTTCTAGTTCGAGATCATCTTCCTCGTCATCTTCTATCGTACTCACGTAAACATCATCATCATCATCATCATTATTATCATTATCGTTTTTTAATTTTTTTATTTTACCCCGATTATTATTATTATTAGCATCGGATTGTAAAAATGTTTCTCCATCCGGTTTTAATATTAGTGAATGATGAGGACCAAATTCGTAATGTTTGTGTTCGGTTTTAGCTATTTCGATTAAATCTTTCATTTTATTTTGTGATGACGTAGACGACGATGATGACGTATTTGATTTTTCATTATTATTATTATTATTGCTTAAATGAAGGATTTCTAACGTTCGCGATTCTTTATCTAATTTTTCTTTTAATTTTTCTTTTTCATTTTTTTTATTATTTTGTCCGTCGTCGTCGTCGTCATCGTCATCGTCCTCGTCTTTAATTAAATTTTCTTTGTCGTCAGGTCGAACCTAAAAAAAAAAAAAATTTCGGTTGAGATTGACGAAGAGTTGTGGGGGGTTGTAGAAAAGAAAATTTAATTAATTTTTTTTTACTTGATTTGGTTTATCTGAAACCCCTTCGATTTCCACGTTAACATTATCTACCGTTTGTTGTTTTTGTTGATCATCTTCTTCTTCTGATTCATTTATTTCTTGTTCCTTATTATGTACGCCCATCATTAAACTCATTAATTCAGGTACGTCATCGTTGGTTTTACTCCCTGTTTGCGAAAAAAAAAAAAAAAACTTGATTTTCAATTTTTTTTCTTTGTTTTTAAATCTTATTATAAGGTTTCACTCTCTCTCTCTCTCTCTCTCTCTCTCTCTCTCTCTCTCTCTTTCTCTCTCTTCTTTCTTTCTCTCCCTTTTCTCTCTCTCTGTCTCTCTTCTTTCTTTCTCTACCCATCTCTCTCTCTTTTTCTTTCTTTCTCTCCCTTTTCTCTCTCTCTGTCTCTCTTCTTTCTTTCTCTCCCTTTTCTCTCTCTCTGTCTCTCTTCTTTCTTTCTCTCCCTTTTCTCTCTCTCTGTCTCTCTTCTTTCTTTCTCTACCCATCTCTCTCTCTTTTTCTTTCTTTCTCTCCCTTTTCTCTCTCTCTTTTTCTCTTTTTCTTTCTTTCTTTACCCATCTTTTTCTCTCTCTTACCCACGGGTCTATGATGATCCGAAATTTTTTTTTCCTCATATTGTTTCTCGCACGTTGTACAACTGCAATTCGTTATCACTTGTACTCGTTTCGTCATTTCAGTTTGACCTTCATCTTCTTCCGATTCATCCGAACAAGTTAAAGTAACCTGAAATTAAAAAAAAAAAAAAATCGTAAACGGATTCGATTTAAAAATGCCAGGGTCGCCAACCTTTTTTTTTCCTTTTAAATTAAAAAAATTTTTTTTTTTTTACTTTCGTGATTTTTCGAAAATGTCTATGATGTTGAGCACGAGGTTCGCAACAAGGGGTACGACAGGGAAAGGTTCGATTTAGGAAAGCAGGAAGGGAAACATTTGAAAATAAAAATTTTCACGTGTAAAATTGGGTTATCGAATATTATTATTATTATTATTATTTGTTCAGGGATCGGATCATGTCTTATTATTATTATTATTGTTTGTTGTTGTTGTTTTGTTATTTATCAGATTTAATAAACAAGGATTTGATATTTTCATTACATACATTCAAGGTTTTCTTCTTCTTCTTCTTCTTCTTCTCTTGGATAAGGTAATTTATTATTAATTATTATTACTTCTTTGCCATTTTGAACACGCTTTTGATAATTTCCCTCCCTCCCCTCCCCCTACCTCCCTTCTTCTTCTTCCCCCATTGTTCGAATAATTTGGATTGTTATTATTATTATTATTGAAATTACCTCTCGCCATTCGTATTCGACAGGTTGACAAGAATCGCAATAGGGTATAATAACTTCTCCGGGTGAGCTAGGTATTGTTCTAGGTATGGAATAACTAAAACAAGCACCCACGCAAACATTGTTGTCGATTTCGATTGATGAACATCCCGGATGTGCGACGATTTGTTTTATTTCCGTCGTTTTACACCAGGAATGTTTATCGGGATACAAAACGATGTTGTGAACCTTGAAAAAAAAAAAAAAAAAAAACATTTTTTTGTTTTTTTATCGTTCGTTAAACATCATCATCATCATCATCATCATTATTATTTACCTTGTGTTCTGTTAATCCGGTAACTCTATAAGTTGCTGCCACGTGTAATAAGAACCAAATACCACAAGAAATGGTCCTCCTCATTCTAAAAAAAAAAAAAAAAAAAAAAAAAATTATGAAATTTTATATTTTATCCAAACGTGTGTCATCGACACGTGCGTGATTATGTGCGTTTCGCAATTTTTTAATAATTACACGCTCCAGTTTCTCTCTCTCTCTCTCTCTCTCTCACTGGAACTGGAACGAAAATATTTCAAAGAAAAAAAAAAAAAGTTGACAAATTAGGTAAATATAATAGTAATAATAATAATAATAATAATAATTAGTGATCGATGGAAAGTTTAAAATTTTCCTTTAAAATTTTCGGTTCGTTACTCGACGTAATGATGATGATGATGATGATGATAATAATTATTTTTATTAGGGAGGATATCGTTATTATGCGTTAATGACACGACGATTGCAAAAACAAGAGTAAAAGTAAAATATTTATTTGCAAACATTTCGCATGGGTATCGATCATTCATCGTTATCAATCGATTTATCGATACTTTAAACTATTAGAAACGCGACGTGACGTCACGAAGAAAATTTTCGTTTACGTTACGGTACACGCGTTATATAGTTTCGTTCTTTCTGGAAATTTCGCCAAAGAGTGAGAAAGAGAGAGAGAGAGAGAAATTTTTTACTTTCTTTTCGTAGAATTCGAATTTAATATTGAAACGAAAAATAATAATAATAATAATAATAATAATAATGATAATTTGATTGAAATTCGCGTTTAATCGAAGGTTTTGGAAGTTGTCGTTAACAACAACAACAACTTGTTTTCGTTTTCGTTTTTTTTTTTTTTTTTTGTGCGATTGGTTCATTCATTTTATACTCTTATTACCCATTTAAAACGATTTAATAATATCCGCGAAGATAATGATGATGATGATATTTAAAAAAAAAAAAAAAAAACCGTTACTAAAAAAAAAAAAAAGAATCTGGAGAATTTTCCGGATTAAATAGACGTAAAAAAAAAAAAAAAAAAGAAATTTTGCAACAAACGAAAGGAGAACGTAATGAGTAATAATAGTGATTAAGTTGTTACTACTGCCACTACTTCCACTACTACCACCCGTTTACTACTCGTTCGTCAAAAAAATAAGTTCAACGACCTCGTTTTTTTTTTTTTTTTTTTATAAATAAAAATAAATTTCCAGGGTTTTTTTTTTTCTAAAATTTAAACTCGTGGTTTTCACGCACGCGCACACCTACGGAATCATGATGATGATGATTAATAATAATAATAATGTTTTTTCAGAATAAGGACCAAAAACGAAATGAAAATTTTTAGAAGAAAAAAGAAAAAACGAATTGAACCAGAGTTTAAAAGAAAAAAGAATTTTTTTTGTTTCCTATTTACACGATACTTTTGACGGTGGTGGATCACGATTCGAACGAAGGATTAAAATTTTTTTGGGTTTCCACGTGCATACACGTGTACAACGGATTTTCTTGTAATTCTTTTTAAGGTAAGGTTTTATTTTTTTTTTCTTCCGCCATCTTTTTTTTTCATTTATCTCGCCGGTGTAGCTTTTATCCCATTCTGGAATATCATTCTCTTTATTTAATTATTATTATTATTATTTTCACTTTTAAACGCGACAACCTTTTAAAGAACTTGTCGGAGTTCATTTATTCCAGGTTTCTAACGGACGATTCATTAGAGATAAATGCTCGAATTTGTTGAATTTTCCAAAGAATGTGGGCCGTCCCACATAGTGCGATTTCCTGGTTGGTTTCCTCTTTTAGGTTCTTCAAAGTCTTCTTTAAATTTCCTTTCATTGAATGTGGTGGCATGGCTCCCAATCCTCCCACGATGACCGGAATCGTTTCTGTTTTTGTTTCCCACATTTTGGCTATTTCAATTTTATTATTATTATTATTTTAATTCAACGCGAGATTCCATGCTTGCACTTTTAGGAGCTTTATTTCCAAAATTCTACCCGATTCCTTACGAATAAATGCTTCGATATTAATTTTTTTCTAGATTTTTCCAGAATATTCTCCAGTTTATCCAGATTTTTCCAGTTTTCTCCAGATTTTCTCCAGACTTCTCCAGTTTTCTCCAGTATATTTTTAGACTTCTCTAGGCCTATCCAGACTATTCTAGTTCTCCAGTTTTCTCCAGACTTCTCCAGTATTCTCCAGAATTTTTTCCAGACTTCTCCAGTTTTATCCAGAGAAACTTCCCTAATCTTCTAAACAGCCAGCAGGCTTTTTTCTAAACTTTTTCACTTTTATTTTCATTTACTTTTCCAGATTTTCTCGAAACTTTTCTTGTCATTATTATTAATTACTATTATTATTATTATTGTCACTCTTAAACACGACAAGGCTCTTATTTGTCGGGGTTTTTAAGCATTTACCAGGTTTCTACCCGACGATTCCTTAGGGACAAATACTCGAATATCGGTGGTGCTACTTATAATATTTTCCGAAGAATGTGGGCCGTCCCACATAGTGCGATTTCCTGGATGGTTTCTTCTTTTAGGTTCTTCATAATCTTCTTTAAATTTCCTTTTATTGAATGTGGCATGACTCCCAGTGCTCCCACGATGACCGGAATAGTTTTAGCCTTTACTCCCCACATCCTGGTTATTTCAACCTTTTGTCTGCATCTTTGACTGTCTGGTGTTTTATTCCGAACGCTTGTTGGCAGATACAGTTCTGTGTTGCTTGTTGGTAGGTGAGATGATTGCGTATGAACGTGGTACCGTGATTGGGTTTGAATTGTATGTTGTATCATTCCTCGACCCGTTCTTTCGTTTTATATTCACGACATTATTATCATTTTTTTTAAACGCCATCTTCCGAAATTTCATTTTAAAAAAATAAAAATAAAATTTGCGTAATTAATTACAAAATAAAATCATGTTTCGTAATTAATTATTGTGAAATATTATCATCATCATCATCATCATCATCATTGTCGCCGTCGTCGTCGTCGATGCCACCATTTTCAAAAGTTTTCTTAAAAGTTAGTTATTAAAAACAAACGAAATAGAAAACTTCTTTAATATGGGGGGGAGGGGAGGGGAATGGAAAAGATATAAAGAATTTAATCAAGGAGACAGGTAAAAAAAATAGGAAAAGAGAGAAAGATTTAAATGAAATAGATCTTTTTCTCTCTCTCTCACTCTCTCTTTTTTTTTTTTTTTTTTATTTCTCTCCGGTTAAGTTTAGGTTAATAAATAGATGATTATCTTATTCTTTTGTTATTTCACCGCCTTCTATTATTTCAACCCTATCTTAAAGTTCATCTTTCCTTTTTTTTTTTTTTTCAGAAATAAATTCTTTTCCGTCTCGTTTGAATTTATTATTATTATTATTAATTCCGACTATTTTTTATTCACTGATTTTTATCAAAAAGAGAGAATGAGAGAGAGAGAAAGAGAAAGATTGTTCCGGAATTTTTTTTTTAAAATCTCATTTAAAAATGAATTCGATAGGAATCCGTTTTTTTTTTTTCATCTCATGAGATTCGTGTGACGACATTTTTACAAAAAAAAAAAAAAAAAATGAAAACTTGACTCGTTTGTTTATTTATTTACATTTTTTTATATTAATTAACGACGACGACGAAAAGAGAGAAAGAAACAGAGAGAGAGAGAGAGAGAATTGAAGGGAAGAATAAGAGAAAGATAGAAAGGGAAAAATGGAAGGAAAGAACGAGAGAGAAAGAATGGAAGGATAGAGCGTAGGAAGAGCAAATGAGAGAGAGAGAGAATGAGGAAAAAGAAGAGAGAGAGAGAGAGACAGAAAGGTTAAGCCATTAAAAACGTGTCGGAAATCTTTTTTTTTTTTTTTTTTCTAGCAAAAGAAAATCCTTACGTAATCAATTATTAATACTTTATTTAAAAAAAAAAAAAAAAAAAATGCAGATTCTTCTAGAAATTTCCCAACAATGCTTATCCCTTATTATTATCATTAATTTATATATATATATTTTTTTCGCTTATTAATTAATTTTTTTTCTTTTCAATTCGGATGAGAAATTAATTAATTAATTAATTAATAATAATAATAATGATGAAGTATATTCGAAAATCTTTCTTACCTAGCAAAAAAAAAAAAAAAAAAAAAATTTTTTTGAATCGAGAGCAAAAACGTTTTTAATCACACGAATCAGTAAAAAGAAAGAAAGAAATTTTAATTAATTAATTAATTAATTAATTAATCGGCAAAACAAAAATTTATTGATAATATTCGATAGGATATCAATAGAGATTTTTTTTTCGGGAAGGAGGGAGGGGTTGAGGAGGGGTAAGGGGAAGAGGGGTTATCAAATTGGCAAAACCGTGTTCGATTCGTCGTAATTATTAGTCTATGACTTTTTTTTTTAAAGAAAAAAAAACTTGTTAAGCCCGTATTTTCTCTCTCTCTCTCTCTCTCTCTCTCTCTCTCACTCTTTTCCTTCTTATATCAATAAAATATTTTGCGTTGGTTTTTTTTTTTTTTTTTTTTTTGTTTCAATCGGATTCGATTCGTTTTTTTTTTTTTTTTTGTTATATTTACCCAAATAACAAACAAGGTAAAAAGAAAAAAAAAGAAAAAACTTGAATTCGTCGGGGTTATAATTATAAGATTGACTTATGCTTGAAGGACGACCAGGTTACGGATATTTTGCATAAATCTTGTTTAACACATTTTTTTTTTTTTTTTTTAGACTTTAAACCCGAAAAATAAAAATTAAAAAAAAAAAAAAAAAAATTTAAAACGAATTTAAAAGATTACAAAATTTTACTACAAAAATTTAATTCTTTCTCTCTCTCTCTCTCTCTCTATCTATCTATCTATCTCTGTCTCTCTATTCCTCTTCGTTTGTCTACTTCTATCTATAACTTTCTCTCTCTCTCTCTCTATCTATCTCCTGTCTGTTGCTGTCTTTCTCTTTACTCCTTTATCTTCTCTCTCTCTCTATCTATCTCCTGTCTGTTGCTGTCTTTCTCTTTACCCCCTTATCTTTTCTCTCTCTCTTTCTCTTTCTTTCTGTTATCACTCTCTCTTTTTTTTCTTCTTTTTTCTCTCTTCTCTTTTTTAGGGATTCGTTTCGACACAGACAGACACAAACAAACTTGGTAAAAAATTTTACAAATGGTTTAACCTTAATTTATCAAGTGAAAGTTTTCCGTGTGCAATTTCGAATGAGTAGAGAGCCTAAGTGTGCGTGCGCGAGTGCGTGATTATGCGTGTCACACGTAAATTTCAAATCGTGTCTAAGAATAAGAAGAAAAAATCTATCGCTAACGATCGAACGACGATAGATAGATTTTTCGCCATGTTTTCGTTACATAAGTAAAATACAAAAATGACATAAAATTTCGTTTGTGTAAAATTTTTAATTGTTTTGAAACGGAATGAAACGCGTTAAAATTATTTATTTTATTTTTAGTAAAAATAAATAGGGCGAGGAAGGGGGGGAGGTAGAGGGAAATTGTGTCAGTTTTTATCTTTGAAAAAAATTGGAAAAACGCGAGATATCAAAACAAACAAACCGACACTCGTTAATTAATTTCGTTTTTTTTTTTTTAATTTATTAATGAATTAATATTATCATTATGAAAATCATTCACTCGATCGGGTTAATTTTATTTATAGATTGATTTTACAAATGAAATTTTATGAATTTATTTGTTTTTTTCTACTGCCACGACTTTTGAAAAAAATTGTTTATGTTGTTGAATTATTAAAAAAAAAAAAAAAAAAGGGAAATTTTCTAGAGAAAAAGTTTGCAGAATTTTCTAGGAAATATATGAAATAGATAAAAATTTACCTTGTTATTTGTGAATTGTGAAAATGACAGAGAGAGTAAGAGAGAGAGAGAGAGAGACAGAAAGTGTGTGGAGATAGAGGGAGAAAGATAGATGAAGTGAGAGAGAGAGAGAGAGAGGAAAAGAGAAAGACATCAGGAAGGAGAGAGACAGAGAAAGATAGGAGAGAGAGAGAGAGAGAGAGAGAGAGAGAAACAGAAAGGAGAGAGAGAGAGAGAGAGAGAGAGAAACAGAAAGGAGAGAGAGAGAGAGAGAGAGAAAATGAAAACAAAAATTTTGAATCAATGACCGTGAAATTAAGAGCACGTAATAAAACTTTGGAAAATTTTTTAAAAGTTGTTTTTTTTTGTAAATTTTTCATTAAAAAACCGCCATGCCATTATTGCTACTATTATCATTATCATTATTATTATTATTATTATTATTATTATTATTAATAATTTTAGTATAGATAAAATTCAAACGTTAAAACCTGGAATTTCAAGTTGTCGTGATAAAAAAAAAAAAAAAAAAAAGTTTTAAAACCGTAACCGGAAATTAATTATTTACCTGATGAATTTTATTTTATTTTATTTTCACAATAACCTAAATACGAAAAAACAAACAAACAAACAAAATCAACCGAAAAGATTATTTTAAACAAAAAAAGAACTTTTTTTTTTTTTTTTTATTATCCGATATTGTAGTCGTCGTCTGCTTCTCGAAAAATTTTTTTTATTTTATTTTTAAATAATTTTGCAAAATAACAACAACAACAACAACAACTTGATCATGATCACGTGGTTTATAATATTAATTTATAAAAAAAAAAAAAAAAAAAAAAAGAAAAAAACCACACGAGAAACAAACGATGAAAAAACAAGAATCGAAACACTCGCACGCACTCACGCACGCACGCAACAAAAACCGAAAACGCAAAAAAAAAAAAAAAAAAAAAAAAATTTGTTAATAACAAAACACTTATAAACAAATATGGCGAACGAATCGAACGACTATTTTATTTATTTATTTATTTATTTATTTACTTTACGCGATTCAAATGAATAATAATAATAATAATTACGTATCGCGAAAATACGGGAAAAATTCAATTAAAATAATAATAATAATAATATTAACAACAGGTTTTTTTTTTTTTTTTGCTTTATTATTATTATCACTTCACATTAATTTTTTTTTTAGTTTTGTATTTAACCTACAATAACAAACAACAACCACGCGATAATAATAATAATAATAATAATAATAATAATAATAATAATAATAATTACACGGGGATTACGACGCAAGGTTTATATGTATGAGTACCCGTGTCGTAGTCGTCGTCGTCGTCGTCGTCGTCGTGACGTTACGTTCGTTGTACTCGCAACCAATGTTAATATTATACTAACGAGATAACCGTTTTTTTTCTTTCTCTATCTCTCTCTCTCTCTCGTTCTCTCTCTTTCATTTTTTATTTATTTTTATTTTTATTCACCATTCATTTCGAATGTATGTACGAGTCTCCTTCCACGAGTTTTTCCCCCGCTATCTCTCTCTCTCTCTCTCTCTCGTCGTCGTCGAATACTTGCATAAATATACTTTCTATATATATATATATATATACACTCGTTTAAAAATTTTCTTTCTCCTTTCTCCCCTCTCCCTCCTTCTCCCTCCCTTTCACCCCTCTCCTCTCCTCTCTTCTCCTCCATTTTTAAAAATAATGAAAAGAAATCACGTTTTAATAGTCGGAAGAGAGAGAGAGAGAGAAAAAGGGAAAAAATTTACCGTAATAAATCACGCGGTTGTATACATATATATATAAATGTATGAATAAAATACGAAAATACTTTTACTTAATATTTATTACTATTCGTAATTATTATCATTCGAAGAAAATAGATAAAGAGAGATAGATGAATAGATAGTTAGATAGAGAAAAAGAGAGAGAGAGATAGCGAGAAAGTAAATGAAATGAATGGATGGTTGATGTTCGAATGTAAAATTTATTTTAAGAAAAAAAAGACGTCGAAACGTGACTTTAGTTTAAAAAAAAATATTATTATTATTATTATTAGCAAAACCGAACCGTTATTATTATTATTATTACTATCATCATCATCATCATCATTATTCTTGCAATTTTTTTTTTTCTTTTATTCTTTTTTTTTTTTTTTTGAAAAATTTACGACTTTCGACGAACGTTAAAATGAATTTATTTTTATTTTTATTATCATTATTATTAGTATTGTTTTCTAGTTCCACGTCGATTTAAATGATTATGACGATGATGATGATGGTGATGATAAGAATGATAAGGATGGCAAAAAAAAAGTTTTTTTTCTTTAATAATTTTTTTTTTGTCTAACAAAACCACATTCGTTTATTATTATTATTATTATTATTATTAATACTGAATACAGTTGAAATAAAATCTGGACGAGTGACGTAATCGAAAAAAAAAAACCCTCCTGGAAATTTGACTCAATAAATATAATGATAATAATTTTATTAAAATAAATAAGAGAAAGCTGGAAATAGAAAGAAAAAGCGAAAATGTAGAAACTATAGTGAAAGAGAAAGAGATAGAGAAAGAGGGGGGAGGGAGGAAGATAGAGGGGAAGAGAGAGAGAGAGAGAGAGAGAGAGAGAAAGACAGAAAATGAGAAGAGAGAGAGACAGAGAAAGAGGACAGTTGCTTAATTTTTATTACGTAAATAAAAATTTACAAAAAAAAAAAAATTATTTTAACCATTAATTAATTAATTATTATTATTATTATTTTAGGTCGCATAAAAGTACCTAATTTAAAAAAAATTTTCCAAGGCACGTTTTATTACTCTCTCTCTCTCTCTCTCTATGACCTTTAACCGTATCATTTTTCATTGTTAAAATGTATTACCGGAAAATTAATTCTTATCATGTAAATATAACACGAGTAATAATAATAAAAAAAAAAAGGAATCTGTACTTGTATATACCTGTCGTTTGTTTGTTTGTTTGTTTTAAATAAAAATCTAAAGAGATCATTTCATATAAAGCAGAAGACAAAAAAATAATAATTTTGTTTGTTTTTTTCTAGAATATTACGTAACGGAAAAGAAAATTTGTTGTTAAAATGATGGAAAGTATCGTAGTGAGAGTAAAAGGGATGCTGTTGGCACCAACACCACTATTTTCTCCAGGTAAGTCAGGTCTGTTTTTATACATTCCCATTTTAGCCGCATATGCCATCACGTGAGCAACATAATTTTGTTCGTGTACACCGTGAAATAAATGAGACATCGGACCTATACATACACGTAAATTTTCATTATTATCATTCAAAAACCAATCAATCAATCAATCAATCATTAGTACCTGTTGCAAAAATGGGTACGTCGACACCACCGTGAGTCGATTCGTCATTTACAATTCCTGCCTGTTGAGTGTAATTATATGCTGTCGTGTCATCACCCGTCGGATCTTTCCTTTGTATTTTTTTATTTGCCGTCACTTCGTATTGATAATTTTTAATTCCTCCCGTCGAATACGTCAGCGTCGTGAAAGGAACCCCATCCGCTTTTGAATTCATGGCGATACCTGACGACAACAACAAAAAATCATTTTTTTTAATGACGTCATCATACGCATTTTCCGCAATAATAATTTCATTTACCCAAAATGTCGTTTTTCTTATAAGAATATCCGTTTATGTTTAGATTATGCGAATGATCGCTCGTAACAATGATGAGAGTGTCATCGTCGTTTCCGGTTAGTTTAACAGCTTCTGCTATCGCATCGTTAAACATGACCGTTTCCCCCAAAGCTCTTCTCGCGAAACCTCTGTGATGTGCGTAATCTATGAGACCTCCTTCGACCTTATTCGTACCGAAAAATAATTTATTATTATTATTATTATTATTATTATTATTATTATTAAACTAAGATTTGTGTGTGTGTGCGTGTGCGACACGTGTGTAAATTCTTACCGCTAACACGAAACCATTTTTATTTTTTTTCAAGATTTTAATGGCTGCCGACGTCATGTCTTTTAAAGATGGCGGACCTTCCGGTGATTTATCTCTTGCGTCTTCGTACGGCATGTGACTGTTTGAAAAAATACCTGTAAGGTAGGATAAAGAAAATTTTTTTTTATTATTATTATCATTGTTATCGTCGTTCGTCAGGTTGGTTTGTTTTTTTTGCTGTCGGAGTTTAAAAAAAACGATTCCGTTTTCGTTTCCTCGGAGTTTTTTCTTTTTCTATCGCGAGAGGACTCTTTCTTTCTCTCTCTCTCTTTTTATTTCCCTCCAGGTGTGTAGGTAACAGTACTACCTTAAAAATTAATTTTTTTAAACTTGGCAAACAACCATAATGATATTGTTGTTGTTGTTGTTGTTGTCGTAATTAACCTTGAATGTACCACATTTTGTTGTACGTGTGTATTTTTTAGGAGAGTCGTTGCATAGAATTATTATGGTAACAAATCCTTGTTGTTGTCGTAATAATAATAATAATAATAATTGGAATAATATGTTGCATTCATTACAATGTTAATGAATGTCAAATGATTTGACGTTTTGGAAAACGTAATCTATCGATATATCGATCGTTCGATTATTTAAAAAGGCGGGAACAAAAAAAAAAAAAATTTAGGTGATTATACGAGTTAAGGCGTGGTCATATCGCAAGAAAGATACAAAAAAAAAAAAAAAAAACGCAAAAGAATTTAAAAAAAAAAAAAAAAAAAAAAAATGGAGAAGAAGAAGTTTATGAAACAGTTCAGTGAACTAACAACGACGACGACGACAACAACAACAACTACTCACCGAGAACATAATCGGTTTTGTCGTAATTAAGGTTCGAAAGATCTTTTGTGTTGGTCAAGACCTGATAACTTGATTTTCTTTTTTCTTTATCGGATTTCCAAACTGTTATCAAATCTCTTGCGTCGTTTCTCTTGCACGCCCATTGATCTATTGGATTTTCTGGTTTGTCCGTTATGTTCCACGTCAAACATTGTCTTCCGCCTCCCATAATGACCTGTGCGTTGTAAACGAAAACAAATTTTTTCTCTTCATTTTCGTTTAAATGTTTATTTTTATTTTTTTTAATGACACGACGACGTCGCGTTGAACGTACCTTTAGATTTCTCCCGGGTAAATCTTCGATCAATTGACGTGCTATGTCTTTGCAATGGGAAGCTGATTGTGGCATCGTCGCTTCACATTCCCAATGCCTGAAAATTGAAAAAAATAATGCGTGTGAGAATAAGGGAGAGAGAGAGAGAGAGAGAGAGAGAGAGAGAAAGAAAAACTTACGTTATCAAAATCAAAACTTTTCTTTTACTTTTGGTTTGGGGGGGGGGATGGGGGACACATTTGCTCCGATTCATTTCTTTTTTTGCTGTCGTTTTCGGTTAACCGTGAACGCACCGCGAAAGTCCATTTTACGTCCATTAACCGTAGCAAACTACGTGAATTTTTAACGCGGCGGAAAAATTATTTAAATCATTATCGTCGCTGTCGTCGCATCATTCACATAAATTAATAAAATATTACGTCGACGACGACGACGACAATGACGACGACGTCCTCGTTTGAAAAAAAAAACAAAACAAAATAAGAGGAAGACAAGGTCTTAAAGCTTAAATTTTCATTACGTTTACGATACGAGGAATTAAATATTAATAATGATAATGATAACAATAGTAATATCGCGCGATAACGTAAATATAATTTGCCGATCGTAATTAAAGTTGACAAGGGATAACATCGTTTCCGGTTACGATGATAATGATAATAATAATAATAATAATAATAATAATAATAATAATAATAATTCAATCGTACGAAAATTTCTTTTGATTTTTTTTTCGGTGAAAACGAATAAAACGCGACGACGAAAACGTGTAGGGGGAGGGGATGTGAGGGGAGGGAGGGGAAAATGAATAAAAATTAAAGAAATTAATTAAGTAATTAATTATTTTGCTGATTTGAGTGTTAAATGAATGTCAAAGAATGAATATGATACTTTACAATCATATAACACAAATGTTAACAAATCAAAAAAAAAAAAAAAAAATTTTTTTTTTTACGTAACGAGCTTAGACCAGCTCGAATGAAATCGTCACGACAGCAAAAAAATAAAATAAAATAAAACGAGAGCAAAATAAAATAATAATAATAATAATAATAATAATAATAATAATAATAATAATAATAATAATAATAATAATAATAATAATAAAAGAGCGCAAACGAAACGAAACGAAAAAAAATTTTTTTTTCGTGGAAGGAGATGAAAAGAATTTTTTTTATGTTTTTTGTACAAAAATCTTACGTCATATACGAGATTTTCTTTTGTTATTATTATTATTATTATTAGGAAGGTCCACAAGTACTACGAAACACACACTCACCTGTTTGCTGAGTGACTGTATAAGGCACTAGGCGTGGCATGAGTGACACGTGTCGTAGTTACAAAACCTGTGCCAAAAAAAAAAAAAAAAAAATTAAAAATTGTTACGATTAGTACAGAAAAAAAAATAATAATAATAATAACGGACGAAGGGGGACGTTTTTAGGGTTCAAAGGTGAAATAAGAGAAAAAAAAAAAAACCTCCATCGTTTAACTCGTAAAAATTCAGGTCATTTCCAAAATGGGAACACTGACATTTAAAATGAAAAGGTTAAACCTTTTTTTCTTCCTCCACGTCGTCGTCGCCGTCACCCTTTCGCTCTACTACACCTTTTTAACCCTCCTCCCCACGCCCATCATCCCTTTTCTTTTTGAGGGAAGGAAATTAAAAATGTGATTTTTTTTAAAAAATCGGATGTTGTGCGTTGTGTTTATTATCATTATCGTGTTAGTAGTTTTTTTTAATGGATTTTATACGGTGTTAGATAAATGTAAAATGTACCCGTGTCTTTTCCGACATCTTGAGCCCAATCCATGATCGAGGAAACTTTTTTATCCTCGTTTAAAGACGACAGACAATCTTTGACCGTCACGCTTCCGTCGAGTCCCGTCACTTCGGCATTTGTTTTAACGCCACCGAATAACGCTGTGGCTGTGCATGCGGAATCAGGTACGGTCCTGTCGACGGAATAAGTCTGAAAAATGAAAACAATATCAATCGACCGGCGTTT